GTGGGACTCAGAAAGGACTGCAAGCAGGTAACAGGATGTGGGACTCAGAAAGGACTGCAAGCAGGTAACAGGATGTGGGACTCAGAAAGGACTGCAAGCAGGTAACAGGATGTGGGACTCAGAAAGGACTGCAAGCAGGTAACAGGATGTGGGACTCAGAAAGGACTGCAAGCAGGTAACAGGACGCAGGACAGGAAGCAGGTAACAGGACTCAAGCTGGGCCACACCAGGGACAAAGGGTCTGGGTACAGGCAGGTAACAGGATACTGTTAGCGGGTAACAGGGCTCAGGACACAGGACTGAGTCAGGGAAAGGCGACAGGATACCGAGCCACAGTCCTGACTGCCGGGAGGGATTCAGTACCCTCCCAGGAAGCACCAGGTGGTGGATAATCGCTGGCAGCTGGGAGACACCCGCAGGTGAGCACTGGAGTCGCTGGTTCCATATATTTCATATTAGTATTAGTGCTTAATCGGATAATACAAAACAATCAATGCGTTTCGGGTAGGGATGCAGCGAAATTTCAGGGCGCTGAAACATATCGGCCGAAAATTGCACTTTTGACAAAATGCCGAAAGTGCCATCTTTTGGTTGCAATTGCGGTGTATCCCTGGTTTCTCTCCTCCCCGCTGAACACTGCTCGGTGTCCCCTCTGACACAACGCAGCGAGGCCGAGCGGTGCTGGGAAGGAGAGCTATGTGAGCGGCTGGCGTGTCACAGGAGGCCGAGCTCTCCTCCCGCCTTGCCCCGCTCAGCTTCCTGTGACAGATTAGGAAAGCGGTGTGGGGGGCGGAGACAGCTGTCACAGGAGGCCGAGCGGCGCTGGGAAGGAGAGCTATGTGAGCGGCTGGCGTGTCACAGGAGGCCGAGCTCTCCTCCCGCCTTGCCCCGCTCAGCTTCCTGTGACAGATTAGGAAAGCGGTGTGGGGGCGGAGACAGCTGTCAGCGCTGTCACAGGAGGCCGAGCTCTCCTCTCACACCGCCCCGCCTCTTGTGACAGATTGGGGCGGAGACAGCTGTCACAGGAGGCCATGGCGGTGGTGCAGGGGAGAAGTCAGCTGTCAGAGGAGATCGAGCTCTTCTCTCCAGCCTCTGGTGATAGCGAGTCAGGATGGAGAGCAGGCACAAGCAGTCAGGGATCAGTGATCGCTGAGTGTTTGTAAATAATTGAGGCCATAGTATGTTTACCGTGTCCCCAATTATGAATGAATGGGAAGTGGTCTACATCATTTCCTATTCATTCATGATTGTGGACATGGTAAACATACTCTGTCCTCAAGTTATGAATGACCTGGAACACTCGGTATAGAGGCACAGGACCCAGGGGACTCGGGCCTGTGCCGTTAGAGGAGAAAAAGAAAAAACAGAGGATGGATTGAAGGTGAGACTGGAGGAAAAGCGAGCTGTGTGTGTGGTCTGCTACTGATCAATGTCAAGGTCACATGACCACCGCTCACACGGCCACATACTACATGTGTACTACACTCACGTTTCACACAGTGCATGTGCAATACTTTACTGCTACAGTTTGGCACCTTCACCCTGGGCACTGGATGACCTTGTCCTGGCACAACTACGGACTACCACCACTTTGGTCAATGCTGTCCAGCTTCGTTCTTCAGCTTCACTACGTTTGTTCCTGGGATCTGGACCAAAGCCAGAGAGCCGATCTGAAATCCAGCAGCCATTGTGTCTTTTCCCAAAAATCCAAGTTCACATTTAAAAAATACTTCGCTGACCTAACCTCCGAGACCCTTCCGGCTCTCTATTATGGGAGGGCACGGGCGTACGGTCACCTGCAGCCTTACGATGAGCTTAGCGACGGTCACGGTACACAACGGCTGAATGCAAATCATACCTGAACGTTTTACACTGAGATATAGAACTGTACAGACACAGAATGACCCGGTTCTCCAAGAGCCTCCGCGCTGCAAACATCAGGATCACAACAGCCGCCTCACATGACAGCCGAGATACGGGAATCACAAGCAGCCAATTTAGACGTCAGGCACAAGTCCCTCCTGTGATATCATCCGAGAATGAGATGTAATAAAGAATCGTGTACGTTGGAAAGTAAAACGTATGAGGTGCATGCAGTGACATTTATAATGTTTCTACAAATGAACTGGAATGTTTCTCTCCGTGCGTGGCTTGTTTAACCCTTTGGAGGCCGGAGGTAATTGAAGCCTGTATGCTCAGGACCAGATTTAAAAGAGAACTATGGGGGGTCAGTGTTTTTCACTCACCTCATAGTTCTAGCCGACCTGTGACAATGAGACTGTCACAGGTGGGCTCAGTAGATCGGGAGGTGAGCGAACACATACCGGCGTTCGCTCACCTCTCGTGACAGGGGAGGGGCTGGATTCCCCCCTCCCCGCTCCGATCTGCCAGCGCTGACTGACGGAATGGACGGGGGAGGGGTCGGGTACAGCTGGCTCTGCCTCTAGATAGGCAGAGCCAGCTGTCAGTCACGCAGCTGGGCGGATCCCGGCACAATTGTTGGGATCCGCTTCAGCTGCGGGGTCTCAGTATATAATGAGCTACAGCTCGCGGTATACTGAGCCTAGGGTGACGGGAGGACGCTAGTTTGTGTCCTCCCGTTACCCTAAGGAGAACTATGGGGAAAAGCACTTACCCCACAGCTCTCCTTTAAGGGTCACGGGAGGACATATACTAACCTCCTCCCGTAACCCAAAGCTCAGCATATTGCGGTATACTGAGACCCCCACAGCCAGGACGGATCCCGACATTACTGTCGAGATCCACCCAGCTGCGTGAGTGATAGCTGGCTCTGCCTATCTAGACGCAGAGCCCGCTGGACGCA